TAGGAGGTAATTTCTTTTTTTCTTTGGCTTTTCTGGTTGCTCTTTTCATCGTGAAAATTGCACAAGCTAGCCAGTTTTTGAACTGGTAATTGAAAAATAGTCAGCGTTTACAAAGTCATTAAAAAATAGTCACTATTTTGCTGAAACACGAAAAGTTCCAACATAATATGTTGAATTATGGAGCTCATGCGTATAAACTTCCAGCATATTATGATGGAACTCCAGCACATTATGAAATTCCAACATATTATGCTGAAATCTCATATGTAAAAAATTCGAACTATAGCATATTATGCTGGAATTTTTTCAGACTTTTAAGGGTGTTTTTGTTCAAATTTTATCTTTACTTGAAAAAATGGCTAAATTTCGATTACTTTTGAAACTGTGGCTATTTTTCTATTACCAATAGTAAATATGGCTATTTCTGATTCCCCCCTCCCCCCCTCATCTGTTGCAATTTCATGTATTTAGTTCGTAAAATTGGACAAATTGAGTCCAATTTTGACATTACAGTCATTCGAATACTAGAAAACAATCAAATTACTTCTTTTCCTTCCCCTTTTCCTCCCTAACTTCTCTTTTTGTTTCCTCTTTATCTTGGGGCATCTCTATATGTACTATTTTTATCCGCAATTATGCTATAGCACCTATCTCTAATTTCGTTACATATTTGCTAGTTTGTAATACAATTGTAACTTAACTGTACTAGTACTTCATCATTTTTATGTTACTCTCTATGTTGCATATTCTTTAACACGTTCATTTTTGTCTGGACATGCGGTGAAAACTATCAAGTTGGAGTACGGTAGGGATAGAGAAAATGTTTAGTGGAGCAGTGAATGCGTAAAAATCGGAAAGAATACCAACGATGAAAGCACTTTGCTGGATCGACACCGACACTAAGAGGCGAAAGCTAAGGGAGCGAATGAAATTGGATACTATCCTTCAACAAGTAACTACTAAGAAATATATAAATTGACCCATAATTAAAAGTAAGCTTACTTATGAAATGTAACCTTGATAAAAAATAATAATTTTTGAAAAATGTGACAATATTTCGGGGGAAAAGATGGTTGAATTGAATCCTTAACCTGTGATGAAATGGAAAGATTTCAAGAAATATGCAGTAAATTCTTTTGTTCCATAAGAAGAAAAAAAAATTTATCCATTAGATGTGACATCAATATTGCAAGAAAATATTTTATCCATTAGATGTGACATCAATATTGCTTTTTCAATAGTTTGGCCGATGGCCATTTTGCTATGTACGATTTTGGATATCTACTTTTATTAGTGCACAAATACTACGCTTATCCTTCCAAAAAGAAAGAGGAAGAAACCAAAAAAAAACAGTACCACTTCCTCTTGTAAAACTTAATTCAATTGCCTACTTGTGAGTTGTGACCTCTTTTATTGATCAAATAGGCATTATAAAATTTACATTATGCATTCCACCATGAGACAGATTATTAAAACAATATAAAGTCATTTTCAAAGCACAATGAGTAAGGGGGAATTGCAAGAAAATGTTTTAAAGTCATTTTTCAAAGCACAATGAGTAAGGGGGAATTCAAAGCCCTAACATCATATTTTATTTGGTGTAAAAGAGTAAGGGGGGAAGTGCAAGAAAATGTGAGGCATTATAACATTTATTGTTTGTTTACTAAATCAACCATTTATTTTCTTTTCTATTTTACCCTCTAACTCAGTCAGAGGCGGAGCCGGAAAAGTACATACGCGTCCGGATGAACATAGTATGTTTTGCTTAGATTATATATTTATATTAGGAAATGCGTCAACTATGTATGAATATTTAATTGTGAACTCATCAACTAAAATGAACTATGAGTTCGATGACAAGTTAAAAACCCAAAATTTCAAATTCTGGTAGTATAAGTGGTTAGATTTGTATATTAAAAAACTTCTAGCACAATTTTGTATATATTTGTAAAACGTTTCCAACTTATTTTGTTTTCATGTAGCTCCAAATAGAAGTACTCCTTCTGAAACTCAAACCAGTAAATTTTTGTCAACAGTTTAACATATATTATTTTGTCATTTTGATATGAGATTAACTAGAAGTTACATGGAGTACTACTCCTGTACTTTCTGAATCTTTTTTTTTTAATGAATTAATAAATTTGATTTTATACCTAAAAGAAACTTGGTGAAATTGATTCTCCAAAACCAAAAGTGACAAACAAATAGTGAGATAGGAATAATCTTTTTCATATTTATATAAATAATTATTTTAATATGACTGAGAGTTGTAGTAGGATGGATAAGTGAAGAAATTGACATATAGATGGTGCTTCACTGCTCAATCAATAGAGCAGTAGATTAGGGTATACGCGGAGAGGAATATTCTGGAATCGAAAGCAGAGGATGAAGAAGAGACAGATATTTTTTTTTATTTTTCAGTATGTACAATGACAACCTTTATAGACTATTACAGGTTGTATCCTCATGTGCACTACATATGCAATTAACCACCTTTAATAGTAATAACTAACTCCAACAGATTAACAGACTCTAACAGTAATTAGGCAACCTAACTAAGCTGATTACTGTCACTATTATTTCAATAATACCCTCAAGCTGGAGGGTAGAATACATCGAGCACTCCAAGCTTGGATAAAAGGAACTGATGTTGCACAGTCCTTAGAGCCTTAGTTAGTAGATCTACCAATTGATTTTTGGTGTTGACATGCTCAGGCACTATCAGACCTTCTTTGATCATGCCTCTTACAAAGTGACAGTCGATTTCAATATGGTTTGTCCTCTCATGATTGATAGGGTTGGAGGCAATCTGTATAGAAGCTTTGCTGTCTCAGAACAACTTCACAGGTGTAGTTACAGACACATTCAATTCTTTTAGCAACCCTATTATCCAAATTACTTTTGAAATTGCGGCTGTCATGCTCCTATATTCTGCCTCTGCTGAGCTTCGACTCATGGTGTGCTGCTTCTTTAACTTCCAGGATATGATAGAGTCTCCTAGTTTTACAATATAGCCAGTCACAGATTTTCTAGTGTTTAAGCAGGCTGCCCAATCACTGTCACAAAATACAGTCAATTGTGTGCATGGATTATTCTTCAGCAAAATGCCTTGACCAGATGACCCCATCAAATATCTAACTAGCCTGAGTGTTGCCTCCCAGTGTGAAGCTTTAGGTTGTTGCATAAATTGGCTAAGAACATGTACAACAAAATTGATGTCAGGTCTAGTGATGGCTAGATAGAGTAATTTTCCAATGAGCTTCTGATAAGGGGTGGCATCTGGAAGCACAAGATCTGTGATGCCTCCCACATGTGTATCATAATCCACAGTGGTGAACCTGGCATTTACTTCCAAAGGTGTGTTCACTAGCTTAGCTCCACTCAAGCCAACATTAGAGAGATTAAATCAAGAGTGTATTTTCTCTTCTTGAGTAGTATGCCATCATGTGATCTCACTACCCCAATCCCTAGGAAGTATCTCAGTTCACCTAGGTCCTTGACTTTGAAGTTATTGTACAATGCGCTCTTTGTTTGGTCGATTAGCCTCTCATTGTTCCCGATAATAAGTAGGTCATTTACATACACTAGGACAATGACTATCTCTTCACCTTCATTCTTTGTAAACAAAGAATGATCATATGGACTTTAAATGTATTTGGCTGCTTGTAGAGCATCTGTGAATTTGATATTCCATTGTCTAGAGGCTTGTTTTAAGCCATATAATGACTTGAGCAGCTTGCATACTTTATACTCCCCCTACTTTTGAAATCCCTAAGGTAAGTCCATAAAGACCTCCTTTAATAGGTCTTCTTGTAGGAAAGCATTATTGACATCCATCTAATACAGAGGCCAATTCCTTGAGGCTGCAACACTGATTACTGTCCTTACAGTCATCTTTTTTAGCAACTGGTGAGAAGGTTTCATGATAATCTAAACCTTCCTGTTGAGTGTATCATTTGGCCACAAGCCTAACCTTGTATTTGTCTACTTCTACATTTGGTTTATACTTAATTTTGTACACTCATCTTGATCCAACTGCTTGCTTCCCCTTAGGTAAGTCTACTAGTTCCCAAGTCTGGTTTTGCTCTAATGCATTGACTTCCTGTTGCATAGCTTCAATCCATCTCTGATCTTGAGATACTTCCTTAAAGGTCTTGGGCTCTGTGGGTGCTGAGAACAAACCCAGATATTCTTAATAACCAGTGGACAAATGATCATACTCCACATAGTTAGCAATAGAGTATAAGCATTCAGAAGTCTTGCCCTTAGAGGTCACATAGTTTTAAAGCCAGATTAGTGGCTTGGTAACTCTTTTGACTCTGCCATTCTCTGCAATTTGCTCAGTAACACTACGCTCTTTTGTTGTTGGTTCAGCTCCTTGCACTGAATCATCAAAATCTGCAGACTGTATATTATGTTGAGAAGCAGATGCACTGTCTATTATGTTTGTCTCATGATCATTAGTGGTGTATGATTCTGCTATTTCTTCTACTGTTGTGGAATTATTATTGTCATGTTGAATTGTAGGAGGGTGATCTGGTGGTGGTGGTGGTGGTGGTGGTGGTGGTGGTGTATGAGATTGAGAGTGATCTGATGATAGTGTGTGAGCTTGAACGTGTTTGTTAATGTTTGTCATGTCAATTACTGGCATAAATAGCACTTCCTCCTCATTTTCAATCTGCATGGATCTGAAAGGGAAAATCCCTTCTCTGAAGCTTACATCCCTACTAACAAAGAAGGTCTTGGTATCCAGATCAAACAACCTATATCCCTTTTGAGTTTCAGAGTACCCCATTAGCATTGTCCTTCTTACCCTTGGGGCTAGCTTGTCACCCCTAGGTAGGCTGCTTGCATAGCACAAACAGCCAAATACCCTTATATGATCCAGTCTAAGTTCCTTACCATAAAGCAACTCATAAGGTGTCTTTCCATCTAATATAGCAGTGGGTAATCTTTTGATCAAATAGACTGTAGTCTTCACACACTCTCCCCAGAATTTAACTAGAACTAAATTGTGTATTTTAAGGGCCCTTTCCACCTCTAAGATATATATATATATGTTTTCTTTCAAATGTTTCATTCTTTGAGGCGTATAAGCACAACTACTTTAATGAACTATACCAAGGGAAGAGAACAACTCATTACATTGTGAATTAAAAAAAATTGTGTCATTGTCTGATCTTAGTACCTTTATAGAAACATCAAACCGATTTCTTACCATTGTTAAGAAGTCTTTAAGTACAATTGAGACATCACATTTGGATTGAATTAGACAGACCCAAGTATATCTACTGTAATCATCAACTACATTTACAAAATATTATTTTCTGTCAAATGTAGCCTTTCTATTAGGTCCCCAAACATGAGCATGAATCAACTGGAAAATACTACTAGATTTACTCTTACTAATAGGAAAACTTAACCTGATTTGCTTTGCCAATGGGCACACTGAGCACTTTTCATGTACTACATTATTGACTTTATTCTTTAAGCTAGGTATATGTCGCATTGCAACTGCTGATGGATGCCTCATCCTTAGGTACCATAAATCTGCTTCATTTCCTCTTCTAGTTACTACTGTTCCTACTGTGGGTTTGAACTCCCTCTGTAGAATGTGAAGACCATTACTTTCTCTACCAATCCCTATTACTTTGCCATTGTAAAGTCCATAAAATACACAGAAGTTAGGAAAAAAAAATGACTGAACACAGTAGCTCCTTGGTTAACTTTGACACTGAAAGTAGATTAAATTTGAAGTCTGCGACATGTAATATATTTTTGATTTTATGACTCCCTAAAATCACTGTATTTCCTGCACATGCTATGGAAGATCTACTTCCTGTTGACACTTGCACTCTACTGTCATGTTATTTTTCTAAGTTTCTTAGTTCTTCTAATAGTTTCTTGCATGGTGTAATATGATGTGATGCTCGAGAATCAATTATCCGCTCACATGCATAGGTGTTAGATAACAATGTAACAGTACCTGCCATCACATTTGAGGTACTGTCACTTGATGTGGCTTGTTCAGATGGCCCATCAACTGTGAGTATTATTCTTTAGTGAAGAAATGTCCTTACAGCTGATTTTCAGTTGTTGCATTATTGGCATATGGTCTGAATCTTCCACTAGACTGTGCTCTACCACCCAGCTGGCATGTGTTTCCACCAAATTGTTCAATTTTCTTCTTATAAAATCTGGAGGGTATCCTACAATTTTATAGAAGTTTTCTTTCAAGTGATCCTTGTAACCACAGTGTGCACAGATTAACCATGTGCCCTTTGGTTTGAATCCTTGTGTCTTTCCTACTAACATAGTGAGTGGATCCCTGTGAGTGTCTACCACACCAAGTGTTCTTTGGCTTTCTTCCTGAGTCACAATCGCATAGGCTTCATTAACACTATCTACTGGTCTCCTTGCAAGTATGTTACTCCTCACATTCCCATAACTTTCATTTAAGCCCATAAGGAACTGCAACACACGTTGTGATTTCAAGTGTTCAACTGATGGCCTTGATTCCTCACAGTCACAGGAAGAGATTGGAGCCAAAACATCCAACTCATCCCATAGGTCTTTCATTTTTGTGTAATAGCTGGTCACTAAATTTTTTCCATGCCTCATTGTTGCAATCTCAGTCCAAAGGTGATAGATCCTTGTTAGGTTTGATCGATCAAACCTCTCCTGAAAGTCATTCCACACCTTTCTCGCATCTGAGGCATAAAAAATTCCTAGCATTAATTCGTTTGAAATTGTACTTCTAATCCAAGACAACACTATCGCATTACACTTTTCTCATTGCTCAACTAATTCACCTCTGTATCTGCTCTTAGTACAGGAATCGTCTACAAATCCAAGTTTACCTTTTCCTCTCAAAGCTAGCTTTATTTCCCTATTTCAGAGGGCATAATTCTCTAGCCATGTGAGCTTAATTCGGATCAAAACTATCCATGTGAGCTTAATTCGGATCAAAACTATCCATGGAGTATCTCCTGCTTGAAGAAATAGCGGGTGATTATGATCAAGCGAGCTTACCTCATTTCCAGCCATGTCTGCAGAAATTACTTACTGTAATTAGCTCAATTTCGCCGGAGCTGATCCTCATGATCGCCGCTCTGATACCATGAAGAAATTGACACAGAAATGGAGCTTCACTGCTCAATCAATGGAGCAGTAGATTAGGACACATGCAAAAATGAATATTCTGGAATCAAAAGTAGAGGATGAAGAAGAGAAAGATATTTTTTCTTATTTTTCAAAATGTACAATGACATCCTTTTATAGACTAGTACAGGTTGTATCCTCACGTGCACTATATGTGCAATTAATCACCTCTAATAGTAATAACTAACTCTAACAGATTAACGAACTTTAACAGTAATTAGGCAAGCTAACTAAGCTGATTACTGTCACTATTATTTCAATAATAAGATTCTTCCACACTTAACCAAAGGTCTCAAATTGAGCCCTTGAAATAGAAAAAAATCTTGATAAGGAGCGCTTCCTCTTTTAATGGGTCTCACGTGGTACAAACCTGGATTAGTTGGTATTGCAGTGTAGGCACCGAAAACCTAATAATAAATTAAAAAACACTTATATTTTGGGCAAAGTACAAAATTGGTTGGTTGGCCGAAACTAATGGTATTCGCTAGTCAAAATATTTATATTATATGTATATAATACACAGACATATAAAAATATATATTTTGTCGGTTATTCTGAAGTGGCAAAAAATATCCATTTCTCTTATATTTAATTTTATAATATTAAAGTATTTTGACGTTTGTAAACTGTAGTAGATTGTCCGCAAATCTATTCTACTAGTAAAGTACTAAAACGGTATTGAAATATTTTTAACAGTGAGCTCCCCAGTAACTAACCAAAGAGTACTTTCAATTTCTTAACGGTCCGCCCAACAACAAAACTGTAAAAATGGCGACACCCACGTTGTTTCATCATCAGCATTTCCAGCTGAAGTACAACTCCCAACTTCTCCAAAAAAACTCCAATCTTGATCAATGCTCATCACCTCCAAAAACTCTTCTCCTTCTACTACTCCATGACTTTACACTTCTCTGCTCATTCAACAAATACTTGCAAATATGACCACCCTTTTCAATCTTTCATTTTTCCATCTTCTTCCCTTCATATTATTCCTCAAATCTGCATCTGGGTTTGGTTCAATGGGACCTATTTCAGCTGCTTTTGGTAAAAATGGTTTTTTTTGTGCTATTGATGCCAGTGGCAAACAAGATGTCATTTGTTGGGGCAATAAAACTAATTCCTCTGCTGCAGTACCCAACTCCTCTAACTACCCTACTGATGTTCCCCCCATGGCTGCTCTCTCTGGTGGCGATGGTTTTCTTTGTGGCATTTTAGCAAACACTTCACAGGCATTTTGTTGGGACTCTTTAGGTTCAAGGTCTGATCTTGTTCCTACTGTGTTTAAATCCAATGCTTACTCACATATTGCTGCTGGAAAAAGTCATGTGTGTGCTATTAGGGGACCTTATTATTCAGAAAGTGATTGGGGTAGTGTTGATTGTTGGGATATTATTCGAAAATCGAATGATAATGATACTTTTATATCAAGGGAGAGTTCTTTGTTTTATAATCAGTATACTAACTCAACTGCTTTTAAAAAAATAGTTTCTGGAGATGGGTTTAGTTGTGGGGGTGTTAGGGATGGAGGGATTTTTTGTTGGGGTCCAAATTCAAGTGGCCTTGGAAGTTCAAGCATATCGGAGAATGTTCATGTTTTAACTGCAGGGATTGATTCTGTTTGTGGGGTTTTAGAAGAGTCTAATGAGGTCAAATGTTGGGGTGGTAATAATGCCTCGTTTGGTAATCCTCCGGTTGGGGTGCCATTCGTGTCGTTAGCAGCTGGTGTGCATCACTTTTGTGGGATTCGAAAAGATAATCATGGGATTGAATGTTGGGGAAACTATAATTCATCTTTGATTCCAAAAGGATCAGGCTTTCTTGCTATTGCTTCCTCTGATTTTATCACTTGTGGTATTAGGGAAGGCGATTTAGTTCTTGATTGCTGGTATACGAATGTTTCATCACAAGTAGATTATGATCCGCCGTTGCAGCTGTGTAGTCCGGGCTTGTGTACTCCTACTAGTTCTTGCGGGGAAGGAAAATTTTCTTTTAATGCAAGCCTTCTAAATGAGCCTGATTTGATAAATCTGTGTCTTAGGAAAGATCTAAAGATTTGTTCACCTTGTGGGGTGAATTGTTCCGAAGGATTCTTCCCTTCTAGCTCTTGTACTGAGAATGCAGACAGGGTTTGTACACCTTGTTCTCTTTGCCAAAATAGCTCTTGTTCGGATGTTTGCAGGCTTCAAAACTCAGCAATGATGAAGCATCAACATCAGCATCAATTGCGTCAACTACTGCTCATAGTCGGGTCTTCTGCTTTGGGTTTCTTGTTATGTTTAGTTGGGTTATGTTTGTTAATCCGCATGATAGGCAGCAGAACTAAACAAGGTGGAAAGAACCAATTCGCCTCATGTATTCGCAAGCCCGAGAAGGAAACTGATGCAAATACCGACCCTCATCCTCCTGTGTCAGTGGCACCGTGTCCGGGGGAAGCTCAGGTTTTCCGACTCTCAGAGTTGAAAGATGCCACTAACGGGTTCAAGGAGTTCAACGAACTTGGAAGGGGAAGTTATGGATTTGTTTATAAAGCTGTTCTGGCTGATGGGAGGCAAGTAGCAGTAAAGAGAGCCAATGCTGCTACGATTATACACACCAACAGCCGAGAGTTTGAGATGGAGCTAGAGATCCTCTGCAGTGTTCGCCACAGCAGTATAGTTAATTTGTTAGGTTATTGTGCAGAAATGGGGGAACAGATTCTTGTTTACGAACTCATGCCTCATGGAACGCTTAACGACCACCTCCACGGTGGTCTTTCTCCTCTGAGCTGGAACCTTAGGCTGAAGATTGCAATGCAGGCTGCAAAGGGGATCGAGTACCTTCACAAGGAAGTTTCTCCTCCTATTGTGCACCGTGATGTGAAGAGTTCGAACATTCTCTTGGACGCTGATTGGGGAGCTCGTATTGCAGATTTTGGACTGCTTACACCTAATGAGAAGGATCTTAATGGAGATGTGACGACTGATGTCTATAACTTTGGAATCGTGCTGCTAGAGATTCTTAGTGGAAGAAAAGCTTATGACAGGGATTGCACACCTCCAAGTATTATTGACTGGGCACTGCCTCTGATCAGACAAGGCAAAGCAGCTGTCATCATAGATCGTTATGTTGCTCTTCCAAGAAATGTCGAACCTCTACTTAAACTTGCTGAAATTGCAGAGCAGGCATTACGGGAAAATCCTGCTGAGCGCCCTGATATGTCGCATTTGGCACTTCTGTTAGAGCAGCTAGTGAAGGATGTAATGATATCATAACCTTCTTGTCGGAATCTTTATATTAGTTTTTTGGTGGATTGAAATTTTTCAGAAAACAAAATCAGAGGATAGCATATTGGTGAGTAACGCTCTTCTGCAATTGTACATTTCTACGAGCTGCTTGTAAATTTTGTGCTTATATTTTTTGTTTGCCACATTCTTGGACAAATGTCAACAATAAGTTTTCAACATTTTCTTATAGCAATGAAATATGTTGTGCTGCATCAAATTATCTTTTGTTTAGTATCAAGGTAATGAGGCGTTTTCCACATTTCTGAATAATGATATAGTTTTCTTTGTTCACTGAGTAGATGGGACGAGACAGTAAAATTTGGCATAGCGTACCTGCTAAGTTAGATGGCAGATAAATAGGGAAATCTGGTCATTCAATTTCCTATTGCCCCATGATGATGTAATTTACGCCATAGACAACAATAATTCACTTGAAAATACTGATTTTGCAAAATTTTCTCTTATTTCGATAAATTGATCAGTTAGATGTTTTTGCATTTAGTATCAAATGAAATATAGTACTGTTGTTCAAAGGTGAATCTAGAATTTAAACTTGATGGGTTTAGCTTTTAAGGTTCTTAGCACTAAACTCATTATACTTCTGAAATCATGGGTTCAACAAATACTTGTGATATCTAAAAATCATGAGATTGTAAGATTTGAAATCACGGACAGGTGAAAACTGTGGTGTTGGCATATCCCCTGAGAGAGCCTGCTCAACACAGAAAGCTGCTTGATAAGTTAGCCACTCTTTGAATCCCATGTTACAATGTGTCATTGACTTAATTTTGTCCATTTTATGGGACTTCTTCTGTAGATCCTGTTTAAGTGCAGCATCAAATTTAATTAGCATTTTTAACAAGGCCAGAAGAATGATACCTTTTGCCTGCTAATGTATAGAGATGTTATCATCCAGGGGCTTTGTCCATAAAATTCGCTCAAAAAATGAACATTGTGACATTTCATTTCATAAATTTGGGCAGAGAGATCTTCATATTATAATATAGATTTAAGATACAACTGTATTTTACCAGGGTGCATCACATCTCCAAGAAATATGGTTTGTAGCAGAGTTTATTATGCTCTCAAATTTTGTCCTCTGACTGTTGTTATTGCCTTTACTGAGATGCTAAAAGACTATTAGCAAGGTCACATGTTACAAACTAAATGAGTAGGAGCAGATTCTTAGGGGAAAATCTAACTTCTTTCCTTGCTCACCAGCTAATATTATCAGAGAACTGCCTCTTTTCCCCTGTCCAGCGTTGCTGGCATTATAGCCGATTACAACAACAACAACAACAACAAAAAAACCAGTGTAATCCCACAAATAGGGGTCTGGGGAGGGTAGCATGTGCACAGCCTTACCCCTACCTTATGCAGGTAGAGAGGTTGTTTCCGGTACATTATAGCCTATTAATGTTAAGGATTATGTCCGAGAGACTACTTATATCATTAATTTGTACAAAAATTCTTCAAAGTTACTTGTGGATAGACCTTTGATTTGATCTAGATCTGTTAAGGAGAACTATGACCTACGGGACAAAAGAAAGTTCATGAATCTATAGAAACAGAAATTCTTTTTTTGTGCATCTTTTATTGTACCAATAGGGTTAGTATTAGATGAGTAGGAAAAGCAAAGGTTCAACTAGGATCGGGGCACTTTGTTTATTGGCACTAATTCCATAAAGTTACAAATATTGAATGGTCCTTTTCAAAAGAATATTCAATATATGTAGCTTTATGGAATTAGTTCCAATCAAATAAGTGTCCTTATACTAGTTGAACCTTTGTTTTTCCTACACATCCAATAGAATTTTGGATATTCATGTTAGCCACTCTAGTTGTGTGCATGTGCGAGTGTGTTGGTAATAAAACTAAAGCACATATTCTTTTGCAAATACAACAACAATAACATATACATTATATTCTCACAAATGGGGTCTGTGAAGGATAGTAAGTACACAGTACTTGCCCCTACCTTGTGAAGATAGAAAGGAAGACCTTCGGCTCAATAAAGCAAAATCACAACAGTTATGATAGAGAATTATATAAAAGGAAATAGTAACAACAGCCAGAAAAAATAGAGTCGAAGCAAAGGAAACATCAGGTAATAATGTCGATCTAAAAATAGGGAACACGAGGATAACACTAGATTTACAGGTAGGGAAGGAAGTACAAGTTTGGAAAGGAAAAACGCTCAATTACTTACTAACCTACAACCTTAATTTTCGACCTCCACACCCTCTTGTCAAAGATCATGTCCTTGGTAAGCTGAAGATATGTCATGTCTTGTTTAATCTTATCTTATAGTGAAACGATTTTAGTGCCGCACCCCCCTATCACATTCTCCCCAATAGTAAAACGATTTTAGTATCATATACAGCATATTTGTTTAGATGAATAGACTTTGTTTTAAAGCAAAAACATTCAATTCATGGCTTTATGAAGTCGTCAACAACAACATACCCAGTGAAATTCCACGAGTTGGGTTTGGGAAGGGTAGTGTATATGCAGCCTTACCCCTATCTTTGTGAAGGTAGAGAGGTTGTTTCCGATAGACATGGCTTTCTGAAATCATAGGACAGAATAATGCTCGTTATTCTGTTCCGGTGGGCTGTCAGAATGATTAAAATAGAAGCTTTTCTGGTGTAGAAACTGAAGTTAGTTGCTAACTGCACTGAAGCTGTTAGAAAGCAGTTTCAAGAAACCAGTTGTGTGGCTAAACTACAAACGGTACATAAAAACTAGGATGCTTTTCCTTGTTTTTTCTTATGTTTCTGGACAAATCTGGAAACCTTTTTAATCATATTAGACGTTTCTTTCCCTTTTTTCAGGCCGAAAGGTTGAGATGAGGAAATTGACAGAAGGGAAATGAAGGAAAGAAATAGTACGTTATGCTTTGCACCTCTCATCAAATACTTCCAAAACAAAACAATTTAAAAAAGAATGCAAATTTACTTGCTTTATCATGCTGGAAAAGAAAAGAAAGGTGATTAAGTGCTAAAAACAAAATGGAGGGGTACAAGAAACATATGTCCCTTTAGCTTTTGACTGTGAATAACTGCTTTTCAACAGCTTCCTAAGTTTAGAAACCCCCACTAAAAGGTCAGTGCTTCACCAATTAGAAGGAAAAATAAAATAACAAATCAAGGAGTTCTTTATTGAGTAAGTGGTTTCTTCAGCTATGACCTTTGTACTAAATTAAAGGGCAGTCCAATGCATGAAGTATCACGCGTTTAAGTAAGGTCCGGGAAAGAGCCGCACTCAATGGAGTGTGATGTAAGCAGTCTACCTTAATGTATTCCATAGCTCGAACCCGTAACATTTGTACTAAACTGCCATCTCAAAAGATGGTAGTTTTCCAGTGAGAAAAAGTTGATTGGAAAAGAGAGAAAATATGGGAGCCAGTTCAAACTCAATGAGTTATACTGTGCTTGTTCTACCTTTTAGTTATAGCCGCCCCTCCTTTTCTTTTTTCCCTATAAATTCTGTTGCAGAGGACACTTTAGCCTATAACATTTTGTAGTAGTTTCACCAGAACCTTGGCTATACAGAAAATCAAGACAAGTTGTTTGATTCAGTCTCGAGTCTGGAAATCAAGAAAGGTAAGTATCATATGTAAGTAGGTAGCATCTAGAATAGAATTCAGAGCAGCTAAGAAAAAAATATAGTACCTTGCAGGCCGGTCGTCATTGCACACTAGCCGGTCAGTGGGGGTAAGAGAGTGTTCCGTTGGTGTTCTCAATCTGATTCAGTCTAGAGTCTTAAAATCATGAAAGGTAAGTCGCTTGTTTTCATGATATATAAATACATGCCTGGCTCCTTGTATGCCACTTGCATTGTTCCACCAATAATTGATGGCCTTTTCAGATGGCATGCTAGGAGCCATGCATGCATGTTGAGCTTCAAATCAAGCATTTTTTGAGTTGTTTTGAAAATTTTCACTGGCAACTTTGACTCGCATAATCTTCTTTTTGTGATTCTAACAGTTTGAGATTGAGACGTAGTAGTTGTTATAGTATAATATTCATTAGTGGCAAGTCTTGCCTAGTGATGTACGACACATGATTTTATGCAAGCAATGGCCGTTCATTGTCACAATTCGGTTTGTAATTGTGTTTAGGTCTAGGACTGCGATCGTTTTAGGCTTTGAATTATCTCACAAATTAATATTTATTTTCTATTATTTTCAAGAATTTTATGCCTATTTGTATATATATGTATTGTTCTTTGTAAATGTCATCTACATTCACATATATAAGAAAAGTTTTTGCAAAAGGGTGTCACTGCCACTAGTCTTCCCCTTTCCCAGCACTCCACCCTAATCAAAGGTAGGAGAATGAGTTGGTGGCAGAGTTGGATTCAGGATTTAATTCCTATGGGTTCAACTTTCAAGATTTTTAGCATTGAATCTATTATATTTTTAAAGTTATGGGTTCATATCTACTATTTTTGCAATTTTAATAAATTTTTACATATAAATTTTTATTCTGCATCGAAAGTTATGGGTTCAATTGAACTCGTCGGTTCAACACTACATTCGCCCTTGGTTGGTGGAATGTGGCTTATGGGGTTAGCGGCAGAGCTAGAGTTTAGGTTATGCGTTCTTCTGAACCTAGTAACTTTAATCCAAATCTTGTATTTGTCTTAAGAAATTTTTTTTAACTTTAATCCAAATCTTGTATAGGAGAATGTTCTTTCTTTTCTCTTGTTTAGCTTAAAAGTGAGTATTAGAAGTAGAACTAAATTGTTCAAAAATATATGGGCAAGCATGACCATTTCTTAGCAAAGAAAGGTAGGAGAAAAACATGTAATCATGGTCAATGTTGGATTCTGTCTTCTTTCCTTTGGATATTTTGGTTTGGTTTATATAAAGTAGTAGTAAGTACTATGTTAGAACTATTCAACATATTATTCTATGTGGAGCCGATGAGGCCAAGTCCAAATCCAAGTCTTTTTTTATGCAGTCATGGTCTTATAGATGGTTTTAATTTGTTAGTACTTGGTCAATTGACCAAATTTCCATTTGTGTGACTAAGGACAATGTCTTAATTGGACTGGTTATCTGATTTTAGTGACTTCTCCTTTGACAGGCAAGAAGGATCCTACTAGTTTAGTTTCTTTACCATTAATTCCCCAAATAGTTTAAGTAATAGTATACATTATTAGTGTAAAGAATCTTTATTCTATGAGGTCATCTTAATTGATATCTACAGAAGTCTATTAGTTTAGTAGGCATTTGGACATAAAAAATGTGATTTTTGAAGGGGAAAAAAATAGTTTTTGAAGTTAAGTTGGAAAAAGGTATTTGAAATTTAAAATTATATTTTGCACATATATTTCACTTGAAAAAAATATTATAATTTTATGAGAAGAAAATATTATTTACTTGACAATGAGGTAAAACACGCTTTTTTCAAATTTGAAACTCATCTTCAAATATTCAGTTAATGTATAACCAAACAATGTTTTAAAGATAAGTTTCGGAAAAAGGGAAGGGGAGGGGGATTTATGGACAAATGGGTCCTTAAATTTCTTTACCATTCCTCAAAATGGAAAAATTCAAACTCCCTTCTTCTTTAAATTTTATGTCACGTAATTTAACTTTTTTGAGGTCAAATTGCTAATTTTCCACTTGAAACCAATAAATAGTATAAGTTAAAATCATAATTATATGAACTTGATAATAAAAAATAACATCAAGATACTTGCTTCCAATAAAGGTCATATTTTCTAAATGCTTATGATGAGATGTTTTAAAAATCATGAGCTAAATAATAAAATTTGACCCCTAAAAAGTAAAATCTCACCCGCAAATGTTGTTTACCTTCATAAAAATATTTAAAATGTGGTTAAAAGGTTTTAACATCTCAATGTTTTATACATTAAATTTTTTTGACTCTTCTATCCGTCGACCTAACACAGCTCTTTCTTCTTCATCTAGACTTGGAATTGGATATATTTTAAAGAATACACATAATTACATAGGAGCTATTAATTGATTAATTATTTAAAAATTTATAATTTGGGTTGTAGCACTTGTATTTCTTTAATTCTGTGCCACCACATGTTCCACTTTGAGTCATTGCTCTTAAATGGAGATACTATTAATATCTTTTTTTAATTATTTCTTGTTTGGGTGGGTGAAGGTGGGGTTGGTTGCTAATTATCAAAAAGTTGCTGGTCAAAGAGACCTTTATTTGGGGAGGGGTCGCTTTGATACAGACAGTCTAACTTAATACAAGTTGGTTGCTTCTACTGCTCGAACTCGTGACCTATATGTCACATGGAGACAACGTTATCGTTACTTCAAGGTTCCCTTCAATTAGGTTACTCTATCTCTAACAGTGTAATTGCATTTATGTCCCCCAAATTAATTAAAGATGTCCTTCTATGTAACATTAATTGCTTGTGTATCAAAAGTATATAAGAACAGAAAAGAGACATGTCAAGAAGAAAACAAAGAGAAAGAGTATTGTTGTTTGTCATTTTGTTAAAAATGGAGGGGCTCTTTGGTGATAACGAAAGAGCACTATAGATATTTTTGTTTTTCAGAAGTAAATAAAAACAAAATGACCTGTTTTTAGTAGTGTTGTCTGTTTTCTGAAAAGAGTTGATCTCCTTTCATTTCTCTCTTAAGATGATCTAAAATCAAACAAAACTATAAATAAAAACAATAAATAATATATTTGAAAAAGTATCTATTGATATCGAATTTTATCCAGTATCATTTGAAAATAAGGGAACTGAACATCTTATTAGCTCCCTCGATGGTCTATCGGAAACAACTTCTCTTTGCTCCTAATGCAGGGATAAAATATTCGTACACACTATCCTCCCCAGAGCCACTTGTGAGAATTCACTGAATTTGTTAATATTTTTGTTGTAATTTTTCAGAATAAAACCTCAGTTGATAGATTCGTTCGTGAATATGTTGTGCTGGAGGAAGGACTAGTACCTCGTATAAAATTTATACGAGGTGCTTTAACATATAATCAATAATGCAGACAATGAAACCAGTTGGCTATTTGTGTAAATATCTCTTTGTAAAATAGCCTATATTTGTCCGAGACCTCTGATTGAGGATGAACGAATCAGTTAGTACCTCATGAAGGCAGGTTGAAAGATCCATTCTTCAACAAATGACCTTAGTGGAAGGGTTGACCCTTTGGTGTTAGCAGCCATAAGCCCTTAATGTCAAGGGACTATACATTGATACCTCAACTTGTGCAGCTTATAAGTTTCCTTCTACATTTATTATCAACTATGTCTATTTCAACAAAAAAAAATCAATCATATCATTAATGTATCATTTGTCAACCATATCAATAATTAAGTAGTAGTTAATAGATTAACATCCCCTTCACAAACAACAATGTAATTTATCAACTCTTGTCTCATCATTTTCAGTTTTTGTAGCTTTCTTGACAATAAGAAGGATGCTTTATTGCTCCTATTTTATCAATTGGTAATAGCTGTTGCACCACATATAATGATATGAATGCAGAATGAACAATAATAACAAGAAAATGTTCATAATAAATGAGAAACTGAAAAAAGGTATCAAGAATAAAACAATATTAAAGGTAGTGTCTACAACAAAGTATCCACCAAAAACAATAATAAAAGACCTAGCTGCCCACATTAATATACAATTTCTCCAACAACCAAAAAAGGGAAAAAAATAAAAGTGAGCAAACTTAGTGCATGTGTTTCAATCTGTGTGCACAATATACTCTTTGTACAAAGTACATTCTAATTTCTAGCTATCACTACTCCCTTGTTCGAGCCGTGAAAACAGCCTCTTGCAGTAAAGTAGGGTAAGATTGCGTACAATAGATCCTTGTGGTCCATCTCTTACCCAGACTCCGCCAATAACGGAAGCTTAGTGTACCAAGCTGCCCTTTTTTACTACTTCCTTCTTCCTGTTTGAAATGGGCTTCCTGGGCTCATACTTGTGGAAGCTTTAGAAAAAAAGCTTTGAGAAGAATGTTTTCTGCCTATCTTAACATCCATTAAATCAGCAACAATCCCAGGCTGAGTAATCTTCATTTCATCTACTATTGTCGCGCCATTGCTGCTCAACATCTTGATGACCATTGACATTTTGGGGCGGAGGCTGGCGTTCTCTTGCACGCAGAGTAGGCCAACTTTCAAGAATCGGACAGCTTCATCGCTCGAAATTTCTCTATCCAAAACAGGGTCCACTAGCTCTAATAGTTGGTCAGAATTGTACATTTCCCATGCCTAGCAAACAATAAACACCAACACAAGTTGATCCTCTCATGTCATATCATCCAACAAACTAACATCAACATCTTAATAAGTCAAAATCATGGTTCCCATTTAGATATTTTCATTCAAATATAGGTAAATTTTAGATTATTAATAGTAGGATTCACACGAAGGGGAGCCTTGGCATAACTCGTAAATATGCTGCCATGTGACCATGAGGTCACAGGTTCGAGTCGTGAAAACAGTCTCTGTGCAAAAATGTAGGGTAAGGTTGCGTGCAATAGACCATTGTGGTCCGGCTCTTCCCAGGACTCCGCGCATAGCGAGCGCTTAATGCAACTGGCTGCCCTTTAATAGTAGAGTTCACACTGGTCAAAAGTAATTACCTTGTTAACTAGGAAATGCTCTCCTCTAGTAATGTCAAATGCAACTACAGGAGAACCGCTGGCTATTTCTAGTAACACAACTCCAAAGCTATAAACATCTGATTTGCGTGTTAAATGTCCACTGACGGCGTATTCTGGAGAAAGATAGCCTCTTTAGGGCATAAGATCATGAGTTCAAGAAATTCACAACATGATCAGCACAACAAAAACTAGGAAGAACAACATGAGTACTTTTCAAAATTCAAAAAGAACATATATATCTAACTAATGTTAACTTACAAGGTTCCAGCAACTCGGGTACTAATGTGTGACATGTTCTCTGAAAATAGCCTAGCCAAACCAAAATCTGCAATTTTTGGTGTAAAATCCTCATCAAGTAGTATGTTGCTGGCTTTAATATCCCTATGTACAACATGTGGACTCACTTCTTCATGTAGATATGAAAGTCCTTTTGCTATTCCTATTGAAATTTCTTTCCTTAGTGTCCATGTAAATTTACTTCTGTTTTGCTCCCCACCTGCTTAGTCAAATCAAGAAACAACCTCAAGATTTTGTTTTAATAACCGTGGTGTCTGATGCATCTCGCGCACATCTCGACTAATTCCACGAGATACCTTGGAGCAACGGTAAAATTGTCTCCGTATGACCTATAAGTCACGGGTTCGAGCCGTGTAATCAGCTACTGATGCTTGCATCAGGAGAGGTTGCCTACATTGCACCCCTTGGATGCGGCCCTTCCCCGGCCCCTGCGTAAACGCGGGATGTGTCGTTTAACGGGCTGCCTTTTTTTTTAATACCTGCTACATTCCACCGGTACAGGAAAACAAAGAAATTACCTAAGAATGTTTGGGAAAGACTGTTATTTTCCATGTAATCATAGACTAAAAGTCTCTTTGCTCCATCAACACAACATCCTCTGAGGTTGACAAGGTTTTCATGTTTAATATCAGACAATGCAGCTATTTCTGATACAAATTCCCTTTCACCTCGCATTGATTCCAATTCAACTGATAGAACTTTTACAGCCACAAAAATTCCATCTTGAAGCTTACCCTTTTCAAGAAAAGCCACAAAATAAACATCAAAAAACAATTAATACACCTTAAACAAACCAAAACTCACAACCCCTTTTTCTTTTTTCTTGGAACTCAACTATTTTTTGGAAAAAGAAAAAAAATATTTTTTAGAAAAAACTCACCTTGTAAACAGAACCAAAACCACCCTCTCCAATTTTATTTGAAGCTCTAAATCCATGAGTTGCAGCTTTCAATTCATTGTAAGAGTACACTGTAAAATGCTGGGAAATTTGTCCACCTGTTTTTAGAATTCATATTCTTAAGAAAATACCCTTCTAGTACAAGTTGAGGAATTTAAACCAGAATTATCAAAGACGACAAAAAAATAATGAGATTTTTAAGTAAAACAAAATGGTTTGAGAAGCTACCATATGGGATTTGGCTGCCCTCTAAAGTAGCTGATGATGAGCTAAAACACTTGAGAAATGGAAAAGAAAACTTCATAATTCTTGAATATGAAACTCAGTCTTGAATTTTGGTTATGCAATTTAGTTATAAGCACCAACTTTTTATTAAAACATTAATGGGAAAGAGTGTGAAAACCAAGGAGAAGAGGAGTGGGAGGAAAAGCAACAGAAAGGGAGGAGTTTCATTGATTAGAATTGTTTATATATTTGATGCAATGCCCATAGATTTTGACTCTTGCCGAGACTTTTTAAATATGTGATTCTTTTTATATAATGTTTTCTCTTGGCCTAGTCCAGCTAACAATTTTGGTTTTTTTTTATTACAACGTCCTCAGAATATTTCAACTAACTCAGCAAATGATAGACGTTGGATAATAGAATATTCAATAAAGGGTTAAAAATTTAGTATTATCATATCCCTTGTTTGGTTATTAATTCTGGATAAATTATCTCACGATTAAAAATAGTACCAGGATAACTTATACCTGCAAGATATTAGAATAGTAATTCAGGATAAATTATTTCAGGATAAAACAGTAAATTTGACAATCCTTGGATTAATAAAATATACCAAATATAATAAGAAATAATATATAATAACTAATTCCAACATAACTAATCTCAGTATAACTACTATAATCTCAACATAACCAATCTCACCGTAACTTATCTTCAAATCAAATTACCCCGAAAGAGTCTATTGTACTGATCGCGTGAAAAATATTTACACAATACAATTATTCAATATATAATTACAGGTAAATATTTTTAGAAGTTAGTAAGTAATTGATAATTTGGCAAAAATAGAAATCAATCTAACTATTATAGGTCAAAATTCACTGACTATAAAAAGATCGTTATATTGTTCGTTTATATGAGTTAAATTCTTCTATATATGACATTTCTATAATATTAGAGTGGGTAATAACTAAAGCTACACAAATTCACCTTTTTTTAGTTTTTTATGTATTTATAGTTTTGACTTAGTTACTCGGACCTTGAACGAATATAGAACACTCTATGCTCGAACTGTCCTTTAATTTTGACCTAGTTCCCCTCATATTCATTGAAAGTATATTACATAATAGTACTAGGTTCTTTGGAACTCTCAACCATGTTCTTAGACAAGTAAAAGAATTAGACTTTTGCTACAACAGTTTCTCACCTTTGTATAGATTCAAATTAAGTAAATTTCACTTAACATTCTATAAATATTCTTTCATTATTTTTATATGAGAAAACTTGTGCCAGTAGAGTTCTATATTGTGTAGTTTCTGAATATTTAACTTTTAATTAAAAATAAAGTAATAGTCCATTTACTACAGCTAGCTTTAGAGCCTTTATATCATTCTTCCTTGTTGGGTCCAAACACACACACAAGTATACGTGGTCGAGAAGTAATAAAGTAATAAGAAAGTATTGTTCTCACGAGAATTTATGATTCACTACTGTCTAAACTAAACTAGTTACTAGTTATTTGTTCAAGAGGTTTTGAGGAAGATGATGGTGGTATTTACTAACTAAATTACTACGAAACTAATAAGCAAATAATAGAATAAGATCGCAAGTAGAGCAAATAACACGTAGAAGTGAATTCAATATGATGGGGATATTCCGGCTTTATGGGATTAATATCTCTCCTATTGCATTCTTACGGTTGATTTAATTAATTGATTTATCTAATTTATTGATTAACAGGGTTTATTATGCTCGTGAAGTTCTTTCGGCGCTTCGCTCGCCTATTCAAGCCAACCTAAGACTATACGTCTATAGAATCAGGATTAACAAGAACACATGTATATTTCCCGCAAAAATAACTAAGTAAGGCAACTACAATATGTCTATCCTAATCACGAATCTATTCTTCGATGCCCGAAAACAAGAACTTACTCTATTCAATTCTTATATGCAATCTATAGCCACTTTCGAGTTCAACTTTAAATTCGTAAATAGTATTTAATTATTAGCTACGCAATAGAATAATTAAGTGTAAGATTGAAAAAATAAATTAACATGATAATTCAAGCAAAATAATCAACTGTCAAACTACAATAGTCAATAACGACCCATAACCCCAGAATAATAAGGTTCTTAGCCACTCATGTTCATAACAATAATCAAAATATTATTTTTAAACATAAAAGCTATGAATACTAGATGAATGAAGGAATAATTGATTATTCCGTACTCCGTTTGTGTTTCTATGCCTTTACCGCCTTCAAAATTGACCAACCTCCTTAATAATCACGTTTAGGGGGTAGTTATAGACTAGGGTAGGAGTCTCCAAGCCCAAAACTGAGTAGAAAATAATTTATTCGCGGATTGGGGGACTAGGCTTTAGAGCTCGCGAGGCCTGGTCTGTAGCATGGTTGAGCGCGCCTCAGACCAGGTGAGGTCTAGTCTGCTGCGAGGTTGAGCACGCCTTAGACAGGTGAGACGAGGTCTTGGGCGAGGTACCCTTGCTTTGCTCCGATTTTCTCCCTTTCGTGCTCTTTTTTGTGTTCTTCAACATCATTGTGTGCAATCTTCATGCATTTTCATCCTTCAACGATCCTACACATAAAAACGAGATAATTAAGCTCAAGTATCACACAATTAATCATTAGAATACTAAAATATAAAGTAAACAATGCACTACATTTATAGCCAAACATCATTCCCTTGGATTCTTTTTATTTGTCGAAGAACTATAACATGTGGTCCACGTACTAATAGTTATCTCCTAATTTAAGTTATGTTTGTCTTTATATGAGAAAAATCATACATTTATATTGATCCTAATATAATGTTTAAGGTTAACTTAGAGTATTTATTTATAATACAGTCTAAGCATGTTAAAGATTCTTAAACGAATTAAAATTTTCTTAATTACTACTATAGAAAGTTTATAAAAGAATTTTATTGGTCTGATATATTTGGATTCGTGCAGCATATGCTCACTAAAAAAATATTGCCCATCAAGTGTTTCTCCATTTATTGAACCTGAACCCGAGACTTTTGTTTAAGGGCGGAAAGATCTCATACGTCTCACTAGATTTTCATTCATCATCTCACCATATCCATCCATATCTCCGCAGATAAATTAAAATTATTTTAACCTGTAATTTTCATGAACAATATATTAAACAGTTGACTTAATACAAAAACTTTTACTATTAATTAGGTAGATCATTGAGATACTTTTGTATCGTGACGTAACAAGTAATAGCTTCCCCGTTACGTACCTTCTAATTTCCCCGGCGGCAACTCATAAAATAATAATCTCAAATAAATTAGTCCCTAAGAGAAACCAGGCACATTCACATTTATTTAAAATAAAAAAAGCCAAGTAGAAAAATAAGATATTTGGGGAAAATAAAAATTTAACGTAATCATATCTAGGAGAATCCAAGCTGACGAAATATATATAATTTTGTTGCACGTCGGGTATATAATAGTAACATTCAAAGTGATTAAGAAAAGATTTTATATTATTTTACACATGGCGCGTTTTAAGGTTTTAAATTGAATACTTGTGCTATTTTACGTAGTATCAGAATTGATATTTTTAAGGTTTTGATAATTAGTATATATTCACGCACTTAATTATGTATCCCCATTTAATTAAGTTCAAGTGTGAATATATATGTTTAGATTTATTCAACAGATAATTAACTAAATTTTGTAAAGCGAAGAAAGACAGGAATTTAGAATTCCAAAATTATGGAATGAAAGCTTAGGTTGCCATGGCTGACCATCTTAATTAAGATCAAGCTAGTTGTCTTCTTTATAACACGGAGGACCACTAGTCCAAGCTTGAGAAATTGCAACGTACGTGCATGTTTTTTTTTTTTTGTGTATACGGATAAAACCGGGCTCGCCCCTTTGTTTGACTAATCGAGACTGGAATATGATATATTAAGGTCCGACCTCGAGTCATATCGAACCAAGGTGTGAAGTTATATCGCCAAGCTCGAGACCTCAGGACCGAACAAAATTGAGATCATGCGAGATCGAGGGAAACTTGCTGAGTCGGATAACAGAAAGACGAAATATCCGTGATCGAGCGTAGATCACGGCGGAGATCTCGACATGTATCAAGGATAGGTCAATTAATTAGCCAATCATGAGATTTCTTACTTCATTTAGAACTGTATCAAGAGTAGGACTCCCCTACTATATAAAGGAGGTCTGATCATTTGTAAAGCATCATCACATTTACGCAACATAAAGCAATATACTGTCTTTTTCTTATATCAGTAGAAATTTCTCTTGGTTTAAGGGTGATCGAACTTGAGGGCCAAGGCTATTCGATTCGTTTGGTTTGAATTTATTTCTTTTATCGTCAAATTCAATATTAAAATATTCTCTTAATTTACGTCAAGTTATATCACGTATCCTTAAAATCACGTATAAATTTAATTGTTATCCATTTTTAAGATAAACATCATGTTAATCATTCGCCATTCGATCTGTATTCGAAACCGACCTTGCTAATTTGGATTTATCACTAAGGTCGTAAAAAGTTTCCTACCAAAAAGTTCTTCATTTTGAAGGCACACACATTAGACCGATATTGATGGTAATTATGTGCATGCCTTAATTAATAATAGCATGAAAAGTGTATTGGCTTTGTATTGTAAGATAAGAAGAAAGAAAACCTAAGTACAGTGGGGAAATTAAATATATGTAAAAAGACTTTGAATTGGTCTTAGATGCCTTACGAATCAGTTATTTTGGAACTTGTTTATTACATATAGTTTTGTTATTGCAAGTATTTCGAGAGTGAGAGAATGAGTCTTGGATTGAGGAAATGGGAGACTNGCTTAGGTCATGATTTGTGTATTTAATTTAGCGGACGGTAGGGGCCGGGTGGTAAAATGGTTAAAAGAAAACAGTTAATCATCCATATTATTCACTAAAAATGAGTTGGATAATGAATTTTTAAAAACGGATCAAATATGAATAAGAACCATATTATCCATTTAGAAAATGGATAACCAATAGGTAATCAATGGATAACTAATGGGTTTAACTTTTACATTTATAAAATCTCAAATTGGGGGTTCCTAAGTTTGGAGACTAGGAATTCTCTCAAAAGTGATCATATTCGTGAAGCCATGGATAATATGGGTTACCCTTATTATCCGCCGGTTAACCCGTTTTTATCCGCATTAAATATGGGTCAGGTCGAATAATTTATCCGTTTTTTCATTACT